CACTCTCCACACACTCTCTCTCTCACACACACACACACACACACACACACACACACACACACACACACATATACACACAAACACACACACCTACATACACTCACACACACACATATGTGTACTTAAATACCACATGCGTACATATATACACACTCACTCACACTCACATACCCAAACACATATGTACCTAGACTAAGAGAAGGCACTGCCTCCTGTAATACAGGTCCCCACCTAGCTCAGGAGGCAGAGCCCATTGATTGTGTTAAACTGATTTTATCAATAAAGTGTTTTTTATTTTTTTTTTTTTTTTTTATTTATAATATAAGAAATACAAAGGTATAGAAGCAAGATTCCCTGTACTTCTCACTAGCACTATGGTCCAATAGTCGAAATCACGAACAAACTAATGCTATAGTTTGTCTAAATAAGATAGATTGGTTTGATAACTGATGCGTATCGAATTAAATTTGTATGGAAGCAAATGCTGTATTTAATAGACAGGTATTGTAGTGACGAAACAAACACGCAGCGAACAAATAAACTATCGATATTCGGTTTAAATAAAATTATCGAACTTAACTTAAATTATTAATTTTTTATTAGATAATTAAGAGGACAATTCTAGTATTGATTATAGTGTAGAGAACAAAAACATATAAAGACAGCTTAGTGTACACTTCACTCGAAACATTTTCAAATCTCGCTTGCGCTTCCTAGTGTCCGAAACACATAGTAACGCTATGCCAAGTTTCACAGCGACTTTTTTAAAGCATTTCAGTAGAAAAGAATCTCTAAAAATTGTTCTTTAGCTCATATTTTCAAACTTGGACAGATAATAGATGTTTTAATATTAAACAAACACTATTTAATAGGTTTTATAATACTGGAGAAAAATGAAATTTTAATTCAGTTTCTTTTTTAATATTATTTTGGCAGACAGCATCAGTTCGGGAAAAGTAGTCATTTATGTCAAAACATCTACATTTATTTATGAATGGAAAATTGGAATGATTAAAACTCTGTTATTGATTCACAAAGTATATTTGAAAAATAAGGAGTTTAGTACACAATCAATAAACATTTAAGACCTTACATTCTGTAGTATCTGATTTTTATGGTAGTCAAATAATTGATGTTGGCGCCTGTCACCTTCATATGGATCCATAATGATCGACTACGGACATCACTAGCAACATCGCCACACGGACATCACTATTGTACATTCACTCACTCTCTTGCACATCGTCTGTCAATCTGCGCCAACATGCATTGTATCTCGCTCTAATCGATTCTTATTACAACCAAAATGTAATATACAGTAGAACCTCGATAAGTTAAAGTCCAAGGGAAACACAAAATATTTTAAGTTATAGAGGTTTTAAGTTATTAAGGGTCTATGTTGTAGAGGTTTAGGGCTCTGATGGGAACGGAATATATTACTTTTTGAAGTTATAGAGGTTTTTAAGTTACCAAGGTTTGAGTTATCGAGATTTTACTGTAGTAATTAAACAACTGTGTACTTAAGTACCGGCGTTTCATTATGTCCATATAATAAGTGACATAAACAATTGATGAATTTATTACAAAATTTATATTTTAAGACATAGTTCACAGCACACTTTGTGATAAAAGTAACTGAAGTTAGTGAATCTTACTAATATTATAAATGTGAAAGTTTAGATGGATGGATGTTTGTTAGAGTTTGTAGCCTAAGCAGCTGAACGGATCTCAATGAAATTTGGCATACATGTAGAGGATAGTCTGGAAGAACACATAGGCTACTTGGTTTTTTTTTTTTATACCACGCGGACGTAGTCGCGGGCAAAAGCGAGTTATTTTAATTTTTTTACAAATACAGTATAGTTTTTTTCAAATAACAATGAGTTCTTTAATAATTATTTCAAACTAATTACATAGTTTGCTTTTACAATTTTAGGAATAAAATTAAAATAATAATAATAAAAAAGGTTAAAAATACATTTACGTAAAATATTTCATATAGTTAACTATATAACCTAAATGATATCGTAAACAAATAACTTAAAAATCACAGTAAACAAATTCCATACAATTATACATACATATCCCATACACACAAACATACAAGGTCTCTTTCCCACATTAAGGTTTTTATCCAAAACATTTACCCCCTAAGTTTAATAGCATGAAAATGTATAGCCTAAAGCGTGACGTAAGTGTATGGCTTCTTATTAAAAAGAGAATTATTCAAAAATATGCTATAATTGCTGACATGTTACGCAAAAAATAAGTGTGTGTTTACGCTTTATTATAATAGTATAGATAACAAGGAGAAACTTTGGATAAAAGTAAGTTGAGTTAAGTCATAACTTCGACCAAGGTGTAGTCCATTGTACACGTTTTTCCCTGTATATGAAAAATTATAAGTAAATGGACTTTATACATTTCTGATATGCCTCGTATGTGTTCTGTGCACGCCCTGCATTGCTGACTTTATCTCCTCCATGAAGGTGGTGGAGTTGTGTATGGTGGTGCCGCCCAACACTACCCTCACCCCAGGGTTCGCCTGGTTGATCTGATGCACACAGAGGGATTCCTCGTACGTCACACCTCCCACAATAAACACTATGATGTCCTGTGGTCTCCGTCCATTGGTCTCATCTCCACCTAGAGTAGGGTACAAGTTCTCGCGTAGTTTCCCCTTAATGAGGTCCTCTATGGTATCTTTAAGGAGTGGTGTGTGTTGAGTGTAGATGTTTTCTACGCCATTTAAACCCTGGAAAGATTTTATGCTCTAAATTTGTATCAACATGCCTAACTTAGAATTTTCTTTTTTTATAACATAAGATGGCAAACGAGCAGGCGACCAAATCGCCAAAATGGCGAAGCGACCGCTGCCCATAGACATCCGCAATTGCAGATGCGTTGCCTACCCTTATCTGACGGAGGAGGAGACGCACATAAAGAGGATATTTCCCCTTCCTATGCATCTTTTCCACCGTCAAATCCACTTCCTCTTCCCAACCTCTCTTTATAAGAAAAGGGTGGTAAAGAGAAAGGGACTTAAATTAGGCCTCCGGCACCACACTCATCAGAGGAAATACGGAATTGTTTCCATTTGACGGCTGTCTTCTGTGTGGTCGTGGTATTACTGGGGGGAGCCGGCCCTGCAGTGCTAAGATGTTAAAGCGGGCTCTACCACTGTTAAATGTGTATAAATAAATGTGAATAAAAGTGTACTTTAATATTACGTCCTGAAATTTATTATTTATACTAGCAAAAAATATAAAAGTTGATTTAGTAATTAAATATTTCCAACACTATTCTGCCTTACTGAGCGAATAATCTATCATATAATTGGTATGAGAATTACATTAAAGGTATCAATGACTAGTAGTTGCTCGCGACTTTATTTACTGGCGAAAGAAATGTTAAAATGGGTCCCAGTTGACTTATTTCACTACATACAAAATACAAAAATACAAATATTTATTATATTAGTATAAATAAACAAAAAAATAACATGTATCATCAAAAAGGGAGTGATTAAGATGACGGATGTAGTTATTCGGAGGACGAAAACGTGCGTAAAGGTAATATGACAGGGGAAAATTAAATGGATGGATGTTTGTTAGGGTTTGTAGCCTAAACGGCTGAACGGATTCTGATGAAATTTAGTACAGATGTATAGTATAGGCTAAAAGAACACATAGGCTAGTCATTTTTTTTTTAATTCCGCACGGACGGAGTCGCGGGCGATTACTAATAAGATATAATACTGACCTTGAACAATCTCTTGGTTATCTTAACGGCGTCTTGTAGGCCGAAGAGGTCAGTTTTCCGCGCGTGCGCTCCCCCCCACTCCAGCGCGAGCACTGGCGCGCGCACGCTGGCCTCGTTGCGCGCGCGCAGCGAGTCCAGTAGCGCGGGCAGCGCGTTCCCCGCGTGCTTCTCGTAGCGCAGCGCGTACAGCGCCACCAGCTTGGCCGCGTCGCACTCGCGCACAGACTCCTCGCCTATCAGCGCTTTTAAACGCTATGGTAAATTAAACTGTTTCTATAGAAACTGCTGTATGCATGTTATGCGAAGATGATAGGGATATAAACCTAAAAGTGTTAAGATTTGTGGATGGCTACAATGACCGAAGAAAGTATGGATGGGTTGTGTGAAAGAGGATATGCTTAAGAAAGGAGTGGATTCAGATATGGCTGATAGAGATGTATGGAGCAGCACATACTGTGCCGACCCTCCGGAAGGGATAAGGGCAAATGGATGATGTATTTGTATCTTAGAAGTTCTTACAGCTATTGGAACAAAGGTTATTTTGGTTAAAACAATGTTTACAGTTTAAAATGCTTGTGTTTGCATGCATAGTATTGCTGAAAAAAACGCCTATATAGGCGTCACCTAAAAGTAAGGGGAACTACCCCTTTAAAAAATCACGCTGTCCACCCTCTAGACATAGCCTAAATAATTGGCAATGCCCATACTTCCAATATCTTCAACATTTAGCGGTTTAGCTTATTTGTTAAGGAATAAAATTGAATTTGTTTTTTTATTGCTTATACAAAAAACATTTAAAAGGATAATTTTCTAAAAAACACATTTAAAGCTGTTGTTCGCGACATTGTCCATGTAAAATTTAAAAAAAATAGTCTATGTTATTTACTGATAATGTAGCTTCTAATGGTGAATGAATTTACGAAATCGGTACAGTAATTGTTGAATTATTTAAAATACATACAAAAGTACAATTATTTATAATATTAGTATAGAGAAGTATGAATAACGTTATTTACACCAACCGACTGACCTGCAGGTGTTTAGCATGGTCGCTCTGGCAGGCCATCTCCTGCTCCAGCTCGGAGACCTCCAGCAGGCGGTGGCGGCCCACCAGCGCCGACAGCTCGCCCACCACCGACACGTGCTTCGTCACCGTGCCACACATTTTCTGGACACGGTCATTGCTACAATACCAACTGACACCAACACTAACTTTGACCCAAACTATTTAACTACGTCGAAGTCTTTGACTCTAAAAATCAAACAAAAAAATGGGACCCATTTTTTTATTCCTTTCGGATAAAAAAAGAATTATCAAAATCGGTCCACTAGCGGCGGAGTTATGCCGTAACACACATAAAAAAACATACAGACGAATTGAGTACCTTCTTCTTTTGAAAAGTCGGTAAGGAATCTTAAATACTTCACGTCGTAATTTCGTAAGCGATTACAATCGGACGTCAAAATTTAGAATTCAAGACCGCGAACACTTTTGATTAAACACAACAAAAAGGTTAAAAAACATAGATATCATAAAAAATTAAAACAAAATTTACATTTCACACATGTAATATTATATTTTTTTCTAAATCAACTTACCTTGAATAATGGATAGGTTTCAACAAAGTTCTTCATATCAGCGATACTCTCCACCTTCTGGTGGCTCTTGGCTTTGCGCTGGAACTCCTCCATCAGGGACTTGATAGTCTGCCCGATCTCACCGAAGTTAGCGTACAAATTCTACAAAAATTACATCATACTAATATTATAAATGCGAAAGTTTAGATGGATGTTTGTTAGAATTTGTAGCCTAAAAGGCTGAACGGATTTCAATGAAATTTGGTACAAATGTAAAGGGTAGTCTGGAAGAACACATAGGCTACTCACTTTTGTTTTTTTTTAATCCCACGCGAACGGAGTCGCGGGCAACAGGTAGTTAAATACTAATTATTACAAGACATTATTAATGCAGAATCATTACAACTTAATAGACTTAGTTAAAAAATCATTTAAACTCATAAATTCAATAGAAAAATCATATAAATTATGTTTACTTAACAACCTAGAACCTAGAACATTCCCATACTTTTTGTGGCGTATATACATTTCTAAAATTATATGCCCCCATACATAATTTTTATAAAATTACATCCAACAGTTATGAAAGCATTTTTTAGAATTTATCTTTATTTTTAAGTTGGATATTGATATCTAGTATTGAGTTTATTTTGTCTCATAATTTTAAACAACCCCTTTGATTATTAAAATTACCCCCTTGTGTGTGGTTTGAACTAAACATAGCTTGAAAATGTTGAACTGCCTCTCAATAAGTCATCGAACTAATATTATAAATGCAAAAATTTAGATGGACTAATGTTTGTCAGCATTGTAGCCCCAACCGTGGAGTTAGTCTGGAAGAAAACATAGGCTACTGTTTTTCCGCGCGGAGTGAGTCGCGGTCGATAGCTAGTATATATCTACAAGCTTTTCTGATCACCCATTGAACTGCAGGTCTACTGGTCTACTGACCTTGGCATAGAATTCGTCCTGTTCCGAGGAGAGCACCACCTCCTTGAAGTCCTTGTGCACGTCGGGCAGGTGCGCCAGGCTGACGCGGTTGTTGCTGATGCCCAGCAGCTCGTGCACCATCGCCTGGTACGTCCACTGCACACACATACCTGGCTCATTCATCACCAACTCACTATCCCCACTGAGGGGCTCCGAGCCTAGTCTCCGGGCCTGAGTGCACTGCGGGTTGGTTGACTTCACACATAACTCATTGTAAATACACTATGATATTTCTGTATGTCTTTCTTTCAATGTCTTTAAAGAAAGAAAATAGCTAGTAATTTCTTCTTCTTTCTCTTATTGCGATGAATGAAATTTGTCACAGATATAGAACATAGTCTGGAAAAACACGTATTCCACTAAGTTTTTTCCATTCCATGCGGACGGGCTCGCGGGGAAAAGCTAGTATTTGAATAAAAACCACACCCTTGAAACTTCCATCAACTAACACATATCTACAAAATATGTTTTAGGCTATAATATTTACTTATAACACTTTAACGATTTTGCGTTATAGAAATTCGCCTAGGAATTCCCCGTATAACGCTTTTCAAGAGGACAGAGACATAACGTTATAGGGGAGTACTTTTAGTACTTTTAGTCATTTGTGTTAATTTTAGATTGTGTTTATTGTGAAAAAAAATGTAAGTTAAGTTTGTGGAATTTTTTATAAAAATAAATATTTTTCTTCATCTTCAATATTCGCGTTATAGGGAGTAATAGCGTTATATGGGGGTGTTGTACGGTAGCATGTTATAGAGGGTTTACTATATTACCTGATTTAACAACGGTGTAACAGGATCATCTCTCCTATCGATAATGAGCAGTACCGGCGCGGGCACATCTCCGTTGAAGGGTATAGTGTTGTCTATAAGCACGGTCTCGCGGCGCAGCAGGTCGCGCACGCGCTCCGCGAGGCGCGCGCAGGGCTCCGACGACGCCTCGTAGCGCACCACCGCGCGCTTCTTCAGCGACATCACCAGCGCCAGCAGGCCCTGCGACACGCGCTGCAAGTGGCTTTGGTTCCACGACCGACCTGGGGGACACAAACACTATAATATCCCAATAATAAGTATACCAGTATTTCATCTTTAAAAAATAAAATTCGTCATTCAAACGTCCCACCATTTTTAATTATCACATTTTATGCAATCCAATAACTTTAGCCCACAACTATACAAACAGGGAATTAAAAAAACAAAAGTAATTTGCCCATATATTCTTCAGGATTTCTGGAGCCATTTTGGAGTCATCTAACATTCATTTCTCTTCTAGAAAAAAATCTCTCCATCAATAAAATCTTGCTGCATTGTCCTTTAAACTATATTTAAATAAGTCTACATACCATGCAAACATCCAACAATGTTAAATGAAAAGAGATGTCTATCCACGGCTAGATAGTCAGCAAACACCTCCTGAACCTCCCGCACAGCCTCCTGCTCATCACACTCCGCCAGCGTCTTGATGTCAGCCTTCGATATCACATTACTGAAATCTAAATTACATGGTTAGTGTAACAATCATACTTCATACTAATATTATAAATGCGAAAGTTTAGATGGATGGATGGATGTTTGTTAGAGTTTGTAGCCTAAACGGCTGAATGGATTTCAATGAAATTTGGTATAGATGTAGAGGATAGTCTGGTAGAACACATAGGCTACTCACTTTTGTTTTTTTTTATTCCACGCGAACAGGGTCGCGGGCGAAAGCTAGTTATGAAATAAGTTGTACAAAAGTAATGGTTTATTTTGGACATTGTACAACAGGAAACTTTAATTAAACATTGAATTGTATAAAAAACATTCTTAAAAAGATTTTATGATACATTTACTTGTGTCTACAAAATTATACATCTATGAGCTTTTGCTTGTGACTCTGTCCATGTGAATTTAAAAAGAACAAAAGAATGTAGTTTATGTCTTTTTCCAGACTATGCTCAACACCGTTACCAAATTTTCTTGAGATCCATTCAGCTGTTTAGGCAGAAAACTCTAACAAACATCCATAAATCTAATCTTTTGCATTTATAATATTGGCAAGATTTGTAACAAATATTTCATATATTTAGATTTGATATAAATGGTTATGGTTGAATTATAAATAAATGGTTAAACTACATAATATTGTATAAAGTAGTCTTAATTTACAACTTACAAATAAAATAAACTCCATATTTAGGACAGCGTAGCTCTCTGGACAGCAATGCAATATTTTCAGATGTTGGACGAAGGAATACAATGCATTTCATGTGCTTTAGGTTATCAAATTTGCTTGGATTGTCTATCCTCTCAAACAGATATACCTCTTTTTGTAATATCTCCGATTGACTGTACACCATACTGACTATACTTGTCTGAAAAAATATTGATTATATTATAACATACAAAAATCAATTAACATACATGTTATTTATATATACTTTAAGAATGCAAACGGCGGCTATTTAAATTCGTCAAATAATACGCAATTCGAAGAACAATACACTTCCTAGGATATGTTGGAATCTAAAGTGGGTGGTCGCGGAAGGAAAATTATAAAAGTTTTAAGAACTTGGCAATTTTTAGTGTTTTAATACAAATATTCCTCACCAAAGTCTAATCTAGCATAATGCCAACACGTATTTAAACATTAAGATAAATAATTAAGAAAAACTTACAGTCTCTTTATCCATTAGAATAACTTTCATTCCTGGACCGCTTTCTTCAGTCATCTTAGTGATATACATCTTTAGTGCCTTTATAACATTCATGGTTTAAACTTTACGTTTTGTCGTAAATAGCAGAAATAAATACACTTTTCACCTAATCAGATAAATCTTTTCGAAATCCAATTATTTGTTTTGACATTTGACAATAAGAATGAGAACATAAAATGTGTGACATTGGCATATCAAAATCATAGTTCTACCAACGCAGCAAACTGTGAGTACAATTATTTAAACTGTCTAACAAAAATAAATCAAACCAGAAATAACGACGAAACGGATATTTAGATTTTTTATTTATGAAATGTTACTAAAAATAAAGTTATACACAATCAATTTGCTGGTAAAATGTAAAAATAGTTGATAAGTGAATATGTCAAAGTCAAATAAACGCTTATTTTGTACAGTGCTTATTTTCTTGAAATTATTAATTAACTAATAATTCAAAATAATTGTTTAACATACTATTCTACTTTATTAACATCATTTTAAGAAGCTGTTAAAGAAAATTGCTTTTTCGGTTTCCTTTCTTAGGTTTCCTATAGGAAACTCGATTGTCGAATGGAATTAACGAGTAACCAAGAATCCGCTAACATAAAAGTTTTCCGTTATACCATCAAGAATAGCACTTTGCTACAACGTATGACGTCAATTGCATCACATCACTAGTTATCAACGAACGAAAGGTCGGACGGGTCAGGAGGAATCTAATTTACGCGGCATATTCCATTTATTTTAATATTAATATAAAACATATATAAAATGTTTTCCCGTACCCTGAAACCCGTTGCCAGTGTAGCGGTCCAGAATGGCGCTAAATTCTCCACCACATCACAGGTATAATTTTGATGATTGAAGCACATTTTCGCACATCAGCATTATACCTACCGCTCTATTTCTTATTCTGGAAAGAACCAGATGTAATTACAATTACAAAAATGTTTATTTTTGCAGAAAAACTTCAAAGTGGTGGTGGCGGGTGCTGCCGGTGGTATCGGTCAACCACTGGCTTTGCTGCTGAAGCAGAATCCTCTGGTGACAAGACTGGCGCTATACGACATCGCGCCGGTGACCCCTGGAGTCGCCGTCGACCTTTCTCACATGGACACACCAGCCCAGGTCTCCGGGCACAAGGGTCCTGAAGAGCTAGCTGCAGCTGTTGAGTGTATGTAACCCTTATATACCTGTTTATATACATTTTCAGTACATAAAAGTGTTACATAACGCTTATCTACAATTTGAAGTGTGTAACCTAATTTTAGTTTGGGATCTTTGTCAAGGACATACTGATTATGAAATGTTTGATGTGCAAATGTCAAATTTTACCCAACTTTCATTGCAAATAATATTAATTTATAGAAATATAATTATATTAATGTTGATAGGTTATAATGAAGCCATATTTTAGTGTAGAGTATTGTTATTAATAGTCTAAAGTCAGGGAAAACTAACAATGAGCACATTTTGATTTATGTAAACTTGTTATATACTTCAAATGTCCTACAAACAAGGAATTAAGAGAGTATCACTCACTTTATACACATTATACCATATTTTGACTTCAAAAATGAGGTTTTCAATTCATTCGGATTTTTTATGTGTATGTAAAAAAAATTACTCTGAGACTTATAATCCAATTTATGTGATGTTTTTTGCATATCTCATTGTTATATTTTATTAACATAATTGTTATTTTAATAAATCTAACCAATACAACGTTAAAGGGATTCCAATCTTACTATACTAAGACTAAAGATAAAAGTCATATCTATTTGCTGATAACAAATATAGATTTCAATTTTTTCAATCATACACAAGGTTATATAAAAATATGAAGTAGGTATTACATGAAGACTGATCTCAAGTAAAGTGTAAGTTAAGAGCATCGGTGGCTCAGTGGTTTGAACACTTGACTTGTAATCTACAGGTCTTGGGTTCGAATCCCGCCATGTACCAATGTGATTTTCGAATTTTCATATGTACATAATTTACCCGACGTTCTTACGGTGAAGGAAAACATTGTGATGCAATCTGCACATGTCGGCGAAAAAATTCAAAGATATGTGTAAAGTCAACCCCGTATTATTGCAGGCTCCGAGCCCCTCGGTGGGGACGTATAGTGAGCTGGTGATGATGATGATGATTTCAAGTAAACAGGAATATTCACAATATTAACAAAGTTGAAATATTATAGCGCACACACTTCTTTAAAATGTGTAAAATCAAATACTTCTATGTATTACTTTCATTATCCAGGTGCCGACCTAGTAGTAATTCCTGCTGGAGTTCCCCGCAAGCCGGGCATGACCAGAGATGATTTGTTCAACACAAATGCATCCATCGTCCGGGATATTGCCGACTGTGTTGCCAAGAATGCACCCAAAGCTATCATGGCTATCATCACCAACCCTGTCAACTCTATGGTGCCTATCGCTTCAGAGGTACTCAAGAAGGTAAGATATTATTTATGTATAGTTGAGGATATTTATTTCCTACCCGTTGTAGAGAAATTAGACCAATGCTTGTCAATGTGATTTTGTAACTCTTAGGACCTGTCCCACCAAATGGTAAATTGTTTAATAACAATGCAACATGTAACAACAGTGGTAGTGCCCACTTTAATACCATGACCACACAGAAGACAGGCGTCTATGGGCAGCGGTTGCTTTGCTATTTTGGCGGATTCAGGTGGCCGGGTGTTTGTTTGCCACCTTATATTAAAAAAAAATGTAAAATATGTAATGGAAATGTCAGATTGTGTTACCTTATCTGACAGTCATGCCATTTTTAAGTTATCCTCTATCACCCAAGTTGGGACAGGCCTTTAATGGTTATATTTCATTCTTTCAATGTACTGTTGTGGGTAGTTGCATGAAAGATCATGAGGCTGTTAACACACACTTATTTATTACTGTTTAATTTAAAAAATGAACATTTTTTATGCAGATTCTGATTTGTGTTATAAGTTTAAAAGAAATATTGTCAACATATTAACAATGACATTTATGATGTGAAAATGAACAACAAATGATCATGTATCATTTGAACAATACAACAATGATCAATGTTTGAACAACTAACAATCACCAGTTAACAATGTCACGTAAAATGGACGTAAATTAATAATTACGTTGCAGATTGTTTTATGACATCTCATTGATTTTACTCAAACATATATATTTACTAAAATTTATGTGTATCTTTTTGTTAAGCCTTTGAATGTCTGCTCTCGTGGTTGAGGGTTTGAATAAGCTATTAAAATATTACAGTAAACCATATCCTTGCACAGGCTTAGCTTAGTTAATAGTGTACAAGAATTAGTAAACAAGCTATCTGGGTGGCAAAGAATATATGTCTCATTTTCTGTCACATCCATACCCTTTCCATTGATGTGTTTATGATATAGTGTATATTACTTGGTGACAAATAATTCTAACGATGAAATTGTTTTGCAATGGTTTAGTAGTATCGAAGTCTATTGCAATCAATAAATTAATCCCTCTTCATATATATATAATAATATTATATTGTAATATAATATTGTACACTAGAACCTCGATAACTTCAAAAAATAATATGTTCCCTTCCCATCAGAGCCCAAAACCTCTACAACATAGACCCTTGATAACTTAAAACCTCTATAACTTAAAATATTTTGTGTTTCCCTTGGACTTTAACTTATTGTTCCACTGTAATAATGTGTCCAAATTCCAGGCCGGAGTATACGATCCCGCTAAGGTGTTGGGTGTAACCACACTAGATGTGGTCCGCGCAGCCGCCTTTATCGGAGAGATCAACGGTGTGGACCCCACCACAGTGAAGATCCCAGTCATTGGCGGCCACTCCGGTGTGACCATCATTCCACTGCTCAGCCAGAGCTGTCCCGCTGTCAAACTGTCTGACCAGAGCAAGATTGAGGCTCTCACTAAGAGGATCCAGGAAGCTGGTACTGAGGTAAATTGATGTAAAAATGAAAAATCTTACCTATTGTTACTTTTTATAGCATAGTACCCGTTGTCTGGATAAACAATTGGGTTTATAGGATCTTTTATTTATTTTTATATTATGTACTGTTTCTGATAAATAAACAGTAAAGATATTGATTAGTTTAAATTTATGAAGAGACAATCGGCTAATTTATTTAAACTTTCTTGATATTATCATCAACATAACTTAATATATGTAATAATTATGTGAAGTCGTTCTTAATTAGTTTAAAAGTATAGAAGTCTTGTTTATATAATGTTTATGTTGTGTAAAAGAGAAGTAATATTGTATATTGTTGTCAGGTGGTGAAGGCGAAGGCCGGCGGGGGCTCCGCCACGCTGTCGATGGCGTACGCGGGCGCGCGCCTCGCCTGCGCCGTGCTGCGGGGACTCAAGGTAACGTAAATCCATATTAATGAATTAAAACGTAAACACTTGTTTGTTATATAAGATGTCAGCAATTACAGCGTATTTTTGAATAATTCTTATTTTAATAGAAAGCTCTATAATTACGACAGGCTATAAGCTATATGTTTTCACGTTATTCAATTAAGGGGTGAAGAATTTGCAAAAAAACATCAAGCCACACAGGAACAGCTTATAGAACCAACATACTACTGAATTTTAATAAATGCAAACTTTTTGCCGAAGAAAAAAAACTAGTAAAGTCAAATTATCTCAATAATAAATAAAAAAATGTATTTTTAATATTAACATTTTTGTATATACATTTATTATTATATAGGTTTTTTCAATAATATTTGTCTTTCCAGGGTGAATCAGATGTAGTGGAATGTGCATATGTGAAGTCAGATTTGACAGAAGCTGCTTACTTTGCCAACCCCGTGCAGCTTGGACCCAACGGAGTCGAGAAGAACCTGGGCTACGGAGACCTGAATGAATATGAGCAGGAGCTCCTCAAGGAGGCCATACCCGAACTCCTCAAGAACATCAAGACCGGTGAAGACTTCGCCAAAAAGTAGAATATTAAACCAGGAATGAGATCGGACAGAAAATAGAATTAGAACTGTACTGAAATTCGCGTTAAAATGTACTTCTAATACAAAGAAAACATGGTATATATCAGTTTTTGAATTTATGTTAAAAATATATTTTAACAATAAATACGACTTTAACATATCTGTTAATTCTCGATGTTAATTCATATTTCCTGGTTAAAGATAGTAGCAAATATATGTTTATTTTAGTAAAATCTATCTACTTTCACTATTTATTGAATTATTCTTTTTATCTGAACAATATCGAATGTTTAAATATAACCGATTATATTTGCATTTTGCTTTTGTTAGTTGAAACTTGTCTGTGTGGAGAATGTTTTGTAAATAAATTGTTGGCCCCCGATGTTATGTTGGTAATAAAATTACTACAATAAATTGAGTTTTATTTATTACTATAATAAGGACTAGATGTTGCTCGCGAATTCGTCCGCGTGAAATTAAAAAAAAATAGCCATGTCACAGAGAAACTATCTTTTTAACGGTGAATGAATTTTTAAAATCGGTCTAGTAGTTTTTAAGTGACCGAATGCATGCAAAAAATACAAATCTTTCCTATTTATTATATTGGTATAGAAATATAGATTACTTTCGTAGGTAATTTAAAAAGGCTACTGTGGTTTTAAAAGAAAAATACACAATTGCGCACATTTTATTAATGTAATTAGTTGAACATTGAACGCATCTTATTATAGATACGCAAATAAGATTGATTTTCATAAAATTCAATATATATTTCTAACATGAGGAGCACGAGGTAAGCGCAGAAGACGGTCACTCCAGTCCAACGAGTCTTCGAGTCGTTGCAGCTTATACGAGGACTTGCCATCGCTAACACGTAACTGCACAGAGCAAAATGGAATTGGCACTGATCGCAAACTATTTTTACCCGATTACATATACTATTATTTGAAGGTTCATTATGCTACTAGTAAATAGCGTTTATAGTATAATCTTTAGCAATTATAAAATTACACTCGATGCAATAATTAACTTACAAAAGAATTGTCACACTGGTACAGTTTTTCATAGTTTATCAAAATAAAACTAAAGATTTTGGTGAAATAGGAACAAGAAAAAATGATTCTTATGACCTTTGACCTTGAAAAAATCTGAAATTCAAATCAGTGCCCGTGGAATACCATTAAATATAGTACACCTAATAATTTTACACGTACAAACCACAAAAACTGTCGCGGAGGGAATAAGGCGCAATCGTATGATTACAGAGTTATCGCCAATTTGCGTCCCCACAATTTTCAGACAAAAAGTTCTAATAGCGCCATAAACATCGCTGTAAAATCAATTTTACGTTATAACGTAGATATTCACTCATACAAGCAAGAAAAGGGACATTCAAAACATTAAATGAATCTATCTATAAGGTGGCAATTTTTATAGATCTATTCCATTTAGGAGTTTTTTTAAATACTGAAAACATTGATAGATAGAAAATAAAAGGCGAGGTAGATTTGCATCTTATTTATTTGATTTGTCCTCCCAAAACTTTGTTTTTGCGTATGTTTGGACTTACAAGGATTATCTTTCTTTCGGCTACTTACAATAACATTACAGTTTTATAAAGAAATCACAATGTGGAGAGTCGCCGGGCGCGGCCGCCGGCGCTCGCCGCGACCTCCCTCGCTCATCCGTATAACAGTGAAATATAGGTATAAATACCAGTCAATTCATTAAAAATTAAAAACTATATACATTTTCGGATGAATCTATTAGTTTAAAAGGTATTTCTTGCAGTTATAGAGGTCGCTAGACGGCGTCCGGCGCGCCACAGCCCGACTCACAGACAGACAAGATCGCATGCACGTGCGCACACACACGAGCACGTACATGCGCACGCGCAAGCTCGCACACACGCGTCGCGCACTCATAGCCCGACACTCAGCCGGCCGCGATGCCGCACTAACTCAAATCGAAATCTCTATCCGTACTTACAACTAACCTTCTGTATAATTACAAATGCACAGTATGTATACATAATAACCATACACTTTTACAATATGTATATAATTTAATAATCCGTTAACCGTGTTTACATCGTATGTAGCGTAAGGGCTTAGTCAGCGCCCACCC